AAGCAATTTAAAGCTTGTAGATGTAAGATAACAGGTTAAAACAGTTTAACACTGTAAGATTTGTTAAGTAGACTGCTGGGGTGCAGCCAAGTTTCTTTGTCTTAAAATGGTTTGCTGTTTGTATGGTGATATCAGTTTGCTTGCCTATCTGGCTTTTGTTATGATCTCTGTGCCAAATAGGACAGGCTTTATTATTGAAATATTTTAGAAAAAGTAACTGTAGTAATACATCTGAGGCTCTTTTGGATGTTAAATGCTATTTCTTAAGAAGAACAAATCTATCATACCCAGCGTTAGCTTAGCTACAGTCCTATAGTACAGTAGGTACTTGGATTTCTATTGCTCCCCCCCCCCCCCCCAATGCATTTTACTCCAGCTATGTGTAGAAGAAAAAAAAAAAATCTTTCTATATGCCTTTTAAATTTCAGCTGTTGTGCCAGTTTAGGATATTTTTACAAGATGCTCATGTAACAATGTATTTTAGACATTTTATCTAAATTATGCTACACTGACCTTTTGGTCTGCTTTGTCTGAGAAGCAGCTCCCAAATTTCCACCTTTTTTTACATGATCTCTGTACATGTGAATAGTGCAGGACTAGTAACCTTGAAGATTTGTATGCATTTATTCTGTCTAATGTTTAAACATAGTTGATAACAAAGCATTCGTCTTCCTTGCCTCTCTGGAAGTGAGAAGTTGAGCGTTGTATCTTTGAGACATGGCTACTACCAAGGTGTCCAAATTCTAAAAAGCAGTGAGACTATCAGAGTTGATACTATTTTTAATGCCTGCTTCTATAGACAGGGGAGATTTGGCCTTAGTCATCTGATAGCATCTTTTCTTGCCTTACACATGTTTCCTCTTATCTAAATGTTTTCCCATGAAAACTTTTAATTATGTAGCTTGTTTTTTTAGTGATTATTTCTAAATCAAGATACCAGTCTAAACAAAGTCCTATAGTAATAAAAATGAATGTAGTGAATAGTAGAGAATTAATATGCAAGTCGCTGCCATATTTTGATTGGCAGAAATACAGAGCCTATAATCTCTTCTTTTCCAGTTTGGTGTGGGTGTGCTGTGTGACAGTTCACATCTGTTTTGGCATTGGGTAATTATTAAATTAATATTTTTCTCATGGTGCTTCATTTAGTGAACTCGGATCAGCTCTAAAGGGATCTTTAAGCCAAACTGAATATTAATTGCCAATTGTATGGTGATCATTGAAGTATTGCATATGTGCATGGTAATAGGATACAGGCTTTATAAACAAATAATTACATTATTATATTAAATTTATTAGGTATCACCTTAATTTAATGTGGCTTAGAAACTTCTGTATGAAGCTTCCCCCTACACACATTTTTAATGATTATATTAACAGAGGAATACTAACTTTTTGAATGAACTTTGTCATCAGTTACTTCATTACCATAGTCACTCTTAAGATTGCCACATCATTTCCAGGGAGCTCACAGAACTTATTCACTTACCATGAACATGCACATACGCTACTTAGTGTTTTATTCAAATAAATGCCTGTCTATTTTAAGGCACTTTCTGGCTTATGGTGATCTTAGTAAAAGATTTAAAAAGTCACTTTCATAAGCCTTCTATTATGTAGAAGCTTGTTCATGAGACTATATTAGTAGTAATGCATTTGCGTACATTATTGGATCTGCTACATTTAGAGCATTTAAAAAGGACTACTTTAAAGATGAACATGCTATAATGAACATTCTTTTGTTGTTTTATTATAACATCCCAATCTGAGTCTTCATTAAGCTTCTTTTTGAATATTTCTGTATTCATTGAATTGTAAACCTAATACATATCAAATGATAGTTTAACAAATGGGATAGTTTAACAATGGGATTCAATACTGACAAATGCAGGGTGCTGCACTTGGGCAGTAAGAACCAGCAGCATACTATAGGCTGGGAAACTCTCTTCTTGAAACCACAGTGGCAGAAAAAGATCTTGTAGTCATTACCAATTCCAAGATGAACATGGGCCGCCAATGCAAGGACACGGTCAGTAGGGCTAACCGCACCTTGTCATGCATCCGCAGATACATCACAAGCAGGGCCAAGGAGGCGATCCTCCCCCTCTATGCGACACTGGTCAGGCCGCAGTTGGAGTACTATGTCCAGTTCTGGGCGCTGCACTTCAGGAGGGATGTGGACAGCATTGGGAGAGTCCAAAGGAGGGCCACTCGCATGATCAGGGGACAACAGGGCAGACCCTACGAGGAGAGGCTATGCGACCTGAACCTGTTCAGCCTTCACAAGAGAAGGCTGAGAGGGGACCTGGTGGCTGTCTGTAAACTTACTAGGGGGGACCAGCGGGGAATGGGAGAGACCTTGTTCCTCCGAGTGCCTCCCGGAGCAACAAGGAATAATGACCATAAGTTGTTAGAAAGTAGGTTTAAACTAGACATTAGAAGGCACTACTTCACAGTCAAGGTGGCTAGGATCTGGAACCAACTTCCAAGGGAAGTAGTGCTGGCTCCTACCTTGGGGGTCTTTAAGAAGCGGCTTGATGATTACCTAGCTGGGGTCATTTGAGCCCAATTTTCTCTCCTGCCTGGGGCAGGGGGTCAGACTAGAAGATCTGCAAGGTCCTGTCCGACCCTACATATATGAATCTATGAATTTTAAGTACCAAAATACTGCCCTTGCAAGTTGTACAGGAATCTGTACGTATTTAAAGAATAGCTTGGGTTTTTTTTTTTTGAGCTGGGTTCTAAGTTGAGATTTGCTTCTAATGTTTCTGTTCGCAACTGTGACTTCAGAATTGAAACTGTCTTTTACAGTGACTTTAATGAATTCTGGGAAATTAGAGTTGCTATTCTATTCAGTCTTGGGGTTGAGAATATTTAAAGGTGCATGTTTAGAGCTGTACCAGCAGCATGTTGCTGTGAACTGTTGCTAAGAGCTGGAACTCAAACTAGTTACAGGCTAGGGACAGAAATTGCACATAAACCAGTATAAGTGATTGGAAACCAGTTCAAATCTGTAACGCAACTGAAGTTCATTGCACATAAACTCTTTTTGGAGGCTAAGTACAGACCATCAAAAAGCTTGAGCCTGAATCGATTCAACCTAGGCAGCTTCCTCTAAGCTGTGTAGATTGAACCAACAACCAACTGAACTGGCAGGTGAGTATGCAGGGGATGCCAGAGCACATCTCCCAGCCTGCTGGCAATTGCCAGCCTAGCCAAGTGTCCCCAAACCCTTTCTGTCCCTCCACGGAGGATTAAGAATCCCCCTGTTCTTGTGCTGGCCCACCTTGTGGGAGCCTGCCCCTCAGGAGGTTTTCCCCACCCCAGGGAGTCCGGGGGAGCTAAGGGGAATTGTCCTCCCTCCTTCCTGCAGCAGCTGGGCAGGGGGAGAGGGAGGAGTCCTCCATGCGGGGTGCCTGCCTGTGCAGCCCAGCATGGGGGCACTGGGGAGCCCCTGCTTTGAGGGGCTCTCCCCTGCCCCAGCCCTGGGTACCCCAGGGAGCTGAGGAGTTTGTTCCCCTGCACCTATGAGCTGACAGACACAGGCATGAAGCAGGATAAGGAGCAGAGCGGTGAGGCAGTCCTTGCTGCACTGAAGTAGGCATCATAGTCCAGGGCTGCAAAGCATCCTGGGATGCTTGGGGGACTGTGAGTTAACTTAGAATCACAGAATCATAGAAAATTAGGGTTGGAAGGGACCTCAGGAGGTCATCTAGTCCAACCTCCCCTGCTGAAGGCAGGACCATCCCCAAGTAGATCATTTCAGCCAAAGCTTTGTCTAGCCGTGTCTTAAAAACCTCCAAGGATGGAGATTCCACCACCTCTTTGGGTAATCTGTTTCAGTGTTTTACTAACCTCCTAGTAAGAAAATTCTTCATAATATCTAACCTAAATTTCCCTTGCTACAACGTGAGACCATTGCTCTTTGTTTTGAACCAGGAAGGGAGGGGATCTGGGACAGAAGTTCCATAAACCGGTTTGACCTAGACCAGGTAAGTCTGATACTGCATCCAACAGGTTTATCTTCAACTAGTTTTGGTCATTTTGAAAGTGATTTATGTACACTGAACTTCTGTTCTGTTACAGGTTTAAACCAGTTTCTCATCACTTTAAACCGGTTTATGTGCCTAACCAAAATGGCCAAAATGAGTTGAAGCTGAGCCTGGATGGATGTAGTATCAGACTAAATTAATTTAGGTTAAAATGGTTATGGAACTTCTGTTCCAGATCCCCTCCAGATTCAATCAAACTCAGTTCCTCGGCATCCGAGGATGCTTTGCACCTCTCTTGCAAACCCTGCCTTGCAGAATGGGTGGGCTAGCCTTGGCCCAAGCTGTCTGCTCCAATTGAGCAGGATGGCATGCTCTAGGGCCCCCCCGCTTCCGACCTGGGCGACTGCAGGCGTGTGGCTGCATTTCTGGAATCAAAAAGAGAATGTCTGTTTACTTGCTTGATGGTTCAATCTATGCAGTTTATACTAACCTACCAAAATTGAATTGATTCAGCCTCGGACTTTTTGACTGTCTGTACTTAGGCTGGCATAGTTAAACAGCAAGGAATTGTTGTTGTTCTGGTCACAGGAAAGTAATGTGCCCAAGTAGGCCCCTACCTAAGTGAATTAGTTTTCATAGTTACTAACCAAGTTTTTAAACAGTATTAAATGTAAGGGAGGAAATCATGGTTTATCTAAAGGAAAACGTAACTAACTTCCAAGAACATCATGCATTTAAGCGTTGCTTTAAGCAATGTTCAGGCCTGTTGCAATGACTAACTGTTTAAAACGTATATTTCAATGGTTCAGTATAAGCTGAATTATTTATTTTTATTTTCATTCTTAATTATATTCAGTACAGACAGGACCTAAAATACTGTGTGCATCAGCAAGGCCTGTTTTTTGCCACAGGTGACTGATAGGAAATTCCCAGGCTGCTAGTCTAAAATTAAGCATTGTACCAATGCTTACTTATGGAATGACTTAATGAGCCTTTTTTCATTTACAGAGACGGAAGGATTCAAAATTGACACTATGGGCACCTACCATGGAATGACTTTGAAGTCTGTAACTGTAAGTTTAAATAATTTCTGAAACTTTTTATGCTGAAATTATATTTGTAATTTCTTTTCCCCCCTTTTTTTGGCATAACATCCCAAAAAAGGCTGTCTTATTTAAAAGTCAGTGCCTGTAAAAGTTGAAAACACATTTGGTTTCAGGAGATTGCCTCAGTTGTTTTTTCTATAAGTTGTTTAGTGGTTTTTTTTTTAAATATGCTAATACTCTGAATAAAAGATAAATAGGCTTGGCAGAATTCAATTTCTATTTTTTAAAATAATTTCAACGGATAATATCTGTGTATTTTTAAGTATGCATTTTGACTTGTATTGGTTTAAATTTTCAGGGTTGTGCAAAATTAAGGATGTGGGGGGCAGACAATTTATTAAAGATAGTATGCTGTTTAAAAGCTGCCCATAGCTCCCACATCCACTTTGTCACTTCCTGTTCCTTTGTTCCTAGGCCCCTAGGGTTTCTGCAAGTTGCAGTCAGCATGGTTCTGTAGGACTGCTTTGCCCTGTGGTCTCACGCTCCATCGGCCATCACTTTCCTTACATCCCCTTTTATATACATTTTGATTATTAACAATAGAAAAATATTTTATCACTCTGAGAATGTGAGATGAATTCATTTATCAACTTTTACCAATATAAAAATGGAATCCTGCCAAGCCTTAAAGTAAAGTCCTTGCCCTAAGTTAAGTCTATCAATTGTATTGATAGAGCTGTGTTGGCAAATCTCCTAATGGAGAAGCAGCTTATCCTGTTCAGACTTTTTTTACTAGTAAAATACTTCTGCTAGTTCTGTGAATGAAATAAACAATCCTTTTTAGGAGTATAGTTTATCAGTTATAGCTACCTGCTTTCAGGCTTTTACTGGTGTAGGTATGCCTACTAGAGTTGCAACAATATTTTGCATTCCTAAATGATAGAACTATGTGGAGCATTAGAGCCTTATAACATGGCTATCCTGTCTGCTTTGATTGGGTTTAGGCTTGGTCTGCATTACATTGTGTGTAGTATGGCAGAACACCTTTGTTCTGCCAGCCTACCAATATCAGTTCTGTGAGCAACCGAAGGCTTTGGATCATAGGGGACCTGACAAAGTCTATGTAGATGTGCCCCTGCTTTCTTCTAGTAGTCATGGCCTTCTTATCTGTACATCCCAAGGTGCACTGTGTGTTCAGCCAGCACAGCTGTTTTTGTGAAGGGAGGCAGGTACTCTTGGTGGTTGTCTTTCAAGAAAACTTCTGCCTGGCTTGAGACTTGTAGTGTAGAAAGGCCCTTAGTTGGTGACAAATTCATCAGTGATCTCTAAAGTAGTTGTTGAGAATTTCTTCATTTAGCCTGGTGTGATTGACCAGTTTATTTCAAATGACTTTAGGGTTCTTTTGTGTGGATTTTCCTATATGCAGATGAGAATGCAGAGACCCTCAAACAATTTATCCCATGTTTTCTTTAATTTGTCTGCTTTTATGGTAGTGAGTAAAGTCTCTCAACTATGGTTTTGAGTTGCCTGGAAGTTGGGCAGATGCTACAGAACTAATGTTGAGGCCTCGTTAAGACTTTTGCCATCTGTATACCTAAATAAGCCCGATGAATAGTACTGAACATTCTCTTAAACCTGTGTACCTGCTTCTGGTTTGCCCTCCTATAATACAAACATAAAATGAGGCCTAGAATGTAAATGTTTCAACCAGTCAGTGGTAACTTGTTTTCATTTTGTCAGCTAAGAAAAAAATGTTGCTTAATGTTTTTCATTTTCATCTTTCAATCATAAGATACTGTCACCCAGATAATTTTTATGTCATTTTAATTTTAAACAATGAATATGTTGGTGCCACACTTCTGCATTTCTAGATTGTCTCGGACGGCCGGAGCCGACTCGAGGTGATTTAGAAATTGGGCAGGCTGGTGAATGGAGAGGCAGACACAGCTTATCGGTTGCAAAAACTTTACTTCCGCCGCCTGTAACTGCGACACAGGTGGTCCGGTCGTCTGAACAACTATGTCAGTTGCTCCAGCTGGCAAGGCTCGGGCCAGCTAATCTGTCCACAAATTAAGCCGGCGGGGAAAGGGTACGTTGGGGTGTGCACTCGGCGACGGGGAGAAGAATCGATAGGTGATCAGTCTATCGATCAGCTCAGCTGCAAGTCAGATCTCTTTTGAGGCACTCTGCAGCGTGCTCAAAGTTCTCCGACGTGGGCGGAAGTCGCACGAAATTTTAAACGGCTAGCAAGCCAATTACTAGCCGCCACGTAGGAATAATTTAGAACTGGCCAATAG